TGGAGGAGCGGAGACGTCCGGGTCAGCGCCCTGCTGCCCTTGGGGGCAGGAAGGGGGCGCAGGCTGGCAAGAGTGGAACAGTCTCCTGCCAGCCAGGAGCGGCGCCAGGGTTTTTGCCGCCCTAGGCGGCAGCGCTTCTCTAAGCATTCAGGGGGCCTGGGGTCTTGGGCGGCGGGGGTTCTTCCACTCCGTGTCTTCGGGGCACTTTGGCGGCCAGTCCTGGAGTGAGTGAAGGACCCGCCGCCGAATTTCCGCCAAAAACTCGAAGCGGAAGGACCCCCCGCTGCTGAATTTCTGCCGAGGGCGGCAAAATGCCGCCCCCCAAATTCTGCCGCCCTAGGTAACCGCCTAGGGTCGCCTACTGGAAGTACCAGCCCTGCTGCCAGCCCCCGTAGGAGCGCCATCCCCTTGCCCAGAGGGGACCTGAGGTGCTGGGATCGGACGAGCTGCGCCAGGTTCCCCCAGCGGGGCAGCATTAGGCAGGACTTGAACCCAGGAGTCCAGGAGCACAGCTGGCATCTCCCAGGCTGGGCTGAGGGGATGTGGGGCAGGTCCCCCAGCTCCGTGTGGGGGCCAGATGAGGAGCTGTGCCATGGCAGGCACAGGGTTAACTCCGCCAGGCTCTCAGGCTGCAGGTGGCGAAGGGGGTGGGGTGGGGGGAGCGGCCAGGTGCTAATGCCTTGACCCACCCGGGTGAGAAGGGGTGGAGTCCTGCTCAGCACTTGGCAAGAGCAAATGGCCAGGGCCAGCTGCAGCAAATGGCCAGGCTGTTCCACTCCCAGCACACCCAACCCAGCCCCAGCTGCCCATCCAGGGGCCATGCTCAGCTCTGCCAGGCTTGCTGCAGGGACTTTCTCAGGTCCTGCAGCCTCTGCGCCTCAGTTTCCTTACCATGAGCTCACTGCCTGAAGGGTGGCAGAGTGGCCAGGAGCAGGGAGCTGGGACTTGGCACAGTGGGGGCTCTGCTGAAAGGCAGAGCAGAGAGCCCAGCAGGGGAGGGGCAGGGGGCTAGCTTGTCCTGGGGCTGGCACTGAGTAGCGTGGGCACTAGGCCTGGGAGTTAAGCTGTGAGGCTGGGGGAAGTGCTGTGGGCTGATCAGTTGTGATGCAGGAGGTGGCTGGGGCAACTGTGCTGCCCCCTAGATCTCTGCAGCCCGGGGGTGGAGCCAGCTGGGGCGATGCTGGCCCTGGGTTGGGGGGATGAGCCATGCCAGGGCCGAGCCAGTGAGAACTCCTGCCCCCGAACCCCAGGCACTCCAGTCATCTCCCCTTTGACAGCCTCGTGTGCCCTGTGTGCTCTCCCCACATCCGGGCTGCCCAGAAAGGCCTGGCTTGTTGGCAGTCGAAGCCGCCCCCAGCCCCAGCTGGCTGGGTCCTGTGCAGGGCAGAGACCCGCAGGGCTTGGCAGAAGAAATGACTGATTGTGTGTGGGCGGGGGGAGCACTGCCTCAATGGGGCTTTGTGCAGGGCTGCCCCACCCAGCCTCTCCAGAGCTCAGCAGCCCAGACCCCCCTGGCGCTGGCAGCGCTGGCGGCACAGACAGCAGTGGGGGCCATGCCAGTCCCTCACCTCGGCAATGCTCACAGGGGAGCTATATGCCTGGGCACAGCCCACAGGGGAGGGGGGTTGTCCCCTGTCCCAGCCTGGCCAGCCAGGGGCTCCAGCGCCCCGTGGGGAGGGCAGAGCTCATGCCCAAGTCTGCTCGGGGCTGTGCCCTGCCTCCACCTCCAGTGTTCCCCCCCCTACCCCCCGCAGGCCGTATGTCTTGCCCTGACTTCTGCATCCTGCCCGTCCCAATGTGAGGGGACGGGAGGCTGGGCATGGCCTCCATGCCCTAACACTGCTGCGCCCAAATGCAGGGTCCTGTTTGCACTCACCCACACCAGCCAGAGGCCAGGACTGGGACAGGCATTGAGGAAGTGGGCTGAGTGCTGGATTGGCCAGGGAGGCTCTGGGTCCCACTGTCAGGATGTGGATTTTCTAATTCACATTCTGGAGTGATTTTGATTATTCTGAAAAGGAGGAAATTGCAAAAGGGACCAGCCAAGCAAACCGCCCCCCTGGCTCGGCTGGTGCCCCTCAGCTCCAACCCGCAGCCCCTGCTAGCCCAGCCCTAGGCTCCCTCCACAGCTCTGGCAATGCCCCTCACTCCTGACCCACAGCCCCTGCTAGCCCAGCCCCAAGCTCCTGCCAGCTCTGGTGATGCCCCTCACGACCCACAGCCCTGTATTAATGGGCAGCGCAGGGAGAGATCGGTGTGCCATTGTTGAGGGGCAGTGCCAGTGTACCATGGCCATGCACAGAGCTGGCGCTCGTGGGGGGGGAACAGATGGGAAGACCCAGCTCCCTGGTCCTGTGGTGGCTACAGAGGGGTGGGGGGTGCCGCCACATGCTGACATCAGCCTGCCCTTGTGTCCCCACCAGTATGGCCAGGAGACATGGAGCTGCTGGCATCGGGTTGAGGTGCCCGGGATCGGCGCCCACAGGGAGGAGCTGAGCCTGCAGGAGCTCCTGGACCAGCTGCAGGTGACCCTTCCCCCCACCCCCCGCCAGACCCTGGGCTGTGGGAACAGGCCTGTGCCCCCTCCATCCTGCTGACCCCCCCTTTCCCTCTGGGACCTGAGCCCTGTCCCCACTGCCTAGAGGCAGTGGCTGGGCCTTGGGCAGTCTGCCCCCACCCCAGGCAGGCACTCACCTCCCCCACAGCTCTCACCCACCCCCTACCCAGGTCTCTCTGGGGTGCCCACTGCCAGACATGGCTGCTTGGGAAGGTCTTGGCTGGCCCACTTTCTCCAGACAGCCCCCTGCATGCTGACCTAGTCCAGGCACATCCAGTCTGGGACTTGTGCTGGGGGGAACCACTGATGCTACCCAATGGCTGGAGAAACAGCCTCATCTGGGGCTTGGGAGAGACCCGGGGATGGGGGGAGACCCCCCCACTTACTCCTTTTTTCCTATTCCACAAAAGCCTATGGGAAGCGAGTGCCCAGTGCTGGGCCTGGCACTGACCTGCCTCATCCTTGTCGCCCCTCCTGCCTTACAGGGGGTGCACGGCCTGCCAGTGCGTACAGTGCTGTGTGGGGTGACCATTCTCTATGCCAGCTTCTGGGCCAAGCAGAAACGCGAGGCACAACTCGCCCGCAGGTAGGCGTTGTCTGGGCCTCTGGGCTGGCACCCGGCTCTCCTCTGGCCCTGGGCTGGCTGCCCTCCCTCTGCAGGGGGCTGATGGGTCTGCAGCAGGGGGCATCACCCCACGAGCCCCCATCCCGAGTGAGGTCCTGGGGACCAGCACCAGCTCCCCCGCTACCAGCTCCTGCGTAACCCACTGCCCTTCCCCTGCCAGTCGCCAGGACTCCAGCTCCCCCTGCCCCTCCCTCTCCCCCTCTCCAGGGCTCCAGTTCTGCCCCCTGCTGCCCCTCCCCCCACTCACCAGGACTCCAGCTCCCCCCCTTCCCTGACAGCTGCATCACTGGCTCCCAGCCAGTCTGACCACTGGGTAAACATCCTGCTTCCTGCATCGGGACCCCCGCCCGGCCCCTTGCTGGCTGCGCTCAGCAGGAAGGTCCCGAGGGCCAGGTGGCATTGCCCTCAGGCCTGGCCATGGGAGCTCCTCCAGCCAAAGACCCCTGCCAGCACCCCTGGGCTCGGCGAGGAGCAGGACTAGGACTAGGGTCAGCATGGGGGGGGGGAGGCGCTAGGGGAGCCTGGCGAGGGGCAGGGATCAACCCCCGCAGGGCTGACATGGGAAGTCACTCAGAGCTTGGGGTGTTGCCCCAGGCAGGCCAGCTGGATGCCCACAGAGAGGGGGTCTTCAAACCTGGCTTCGGGTGCTTGGACCCCAGCCCCCTCCCCAGCCAGGGCTGTGCTCACTGGCACTGCCAAGTCTCCACTGATGCAGGGTCGCCAGGGGGTTGACTGGCACAGCCTCTGGGCATATACACTGGGCCTGGTTCCTGCTGGATGTCCCGTGGCTTATTCACCCTTCCCCTTCCCTAGACTGACGCAGCTGGTGGGCGGCCCCTCTGGAGCAGCCTGGCCGCCCCCCCGGATCCTGGTGCTGGACCTGGTCTGTGAGGACCAACAGGACGACGACGTCTTACCGCCCGTGCATGTTCGGCTGCCCTGTGGCTGAGCGAAGCCTGCTGCTGGGCGTCTCCCTGGGCACAGACAGGCAGCAGGGGCTTGGCTGTATGCTACAGGGCCCCTGAGATGCTCAGCAGGACGCTGGCCCCCTTCTCACCAGCCTGGCAGTGGAGAGCCCAGGATGTAGATGGGCGCACTAGGAGCGAGGCCTGCCCCCACCCCCCTACAGCTAATAAACCCCTGCCCCGTCAGTAGGAGCCAGAGGACTGCTCATTCGGGCGGGGGGGGGGAAGGGGAGGGTTGGGCAGTGCCTCCATCTGTTAACTCACCTGCTGCAATTCTCCTGCTGAAATGGGGAGGGGCATAACAGGTTCAATAGCCCCACTCCCCGGGCAGCTTCTGGGACAGCGAGGGGCCTGGCTGGAGGTGTTTCAAGGACCCCCTAGTCCCGGGACAGTCTGGCACCAGCGCCAACTCTGTGCCACAAATTGGGGTTCAGCCTGGTGCCGCCTCAACCATGGGAGCTGGGCATGGCAGCCTCGGATGGGCAGGGGCAGAACAGCTTGGCACCCCCCACCGGCGACTCCCTGGCAGCTGGCGAGGGAAAAGGGGGAAATCAGCATTTCAATGGGTGTGCCCTATGCGTGCAGCATGATTGTGCAGCACGCAGTGTATGCATGTGCACTGTGGGGGTGTGCATGTGCGTGCATTGATCATTCTGTGTGTGTGGGTGCGTGCACTGCGTGTGCACCATCTGGGTGAGCCAGGCTCCCTCCCCTGCCCCAGTGCAGGCTGCAGCCATCCAGGTGAAGCTGGCACAAAGCCCCTGGTGAGGACAAGAGCACACTGGGCCAGTGACGGACTCTGGCCGTACCCGGCGCTGCCCCCTCTCTCCCAAGCATGGGCTCTGGCTGCGCGTTCCATACAAAAGCTGTTTGTTTATTTACATAGCCGGGTACAAATGCAGAGCTGGGACAGGAATGTGCCAGGGGTGGGACTAAATGTAGCCAATAATGTCATTGCAGATGATTGGCTGCCGGCTGCGGCTGTTCAGGAGGGCAGCAAAGCGGGTGCAGTCCGTGGTGAGCTTGGCAATGTCGCCGTGTGACTGGTGGAAGAGGGGTCCCTGCCCCCGCCCACCGAGGCCCCCTGGGCCGGAGAGGTGCTTGGGGCCAGGCTGGGGGGCGGTGGGGCCCCTGGGGCGCGCCAGGCTGGCGAGCTTGCGCCGCACGTTGCCCGAGAGGCTGAGTAAGAAGCTGTGGGGCTTGGCCAGCCGGCGGGGCAAGACACTCTCCTCAGGCAGGTCCATCCAATTCTCCACCAGGTCGGCAAAGCAGTTATCACCCAGCACAAGCGGCTGCCGGTTGCGGCTCTGTGAGAGCAGTGCCACAGTCCAGTCCTGCGTGTCTGCTGGCTCCAGCACCCGCCACTGCTCCAGGCAGGCATCTGAGGTGGACTTGGGCCGGACCCGCCGGCCAGGGGCCTGGCTAGGGCTGCTGCGGAGGAAGCCCCCCGTGGAGAGCCTGTGTGCCCGCTGGCAGGAGGGTGGGGGGTTCCTGCGCAGCACTGGCCCCTCCTCCTCCCGCCACGTGCCCCCTGACACCTCCGAGTAGCCCGAGTCGAACTCCAGGCTCCTCTCGCTAGCGGGCGGCGCGCACTCCTCCTCCTCCGCCAGTTCCAGGCAGCAGGCAGAGTCTGCCTCTGAGACAGCCGATGCCCGGTTCTCCGCAGGCTGCTCCCAGCAGGGCTGGGGGGGAGCTGGTGCCGGCTTGCGGGGGCCCAGCCGTGGAGCTGGGCCTGGCACCTGCTTCAGCTCATGCAGAGTCCGCATCATGCCCTGCATCTGGTCCCGCAGCGTGTCCCCCGCCACCCGCAGGTACAACTGTGGGGAGAGGAACATGGTGACGTCATCGCTGCCCTGCCGGACTGGCCCCCCAGGCAGCATGGCTGGCCCATCCCCTATCCCCCTAACAGCCCCATCTCCCACCTCCATCAGCCCCATCACCATCCCAACAGCCCTGTCCGCCCAACAGCCCTTCCACCCACCATCCGTCCTGACACCTCCAACAACCCCATCTCCCCAGCAGCCTTGTCTCCCGTCACCTGTCCTGACACCTCCAACAACCCAGTCCCCCACCTCCATCAGCCCTGTCACCACCCCAACAGCCCCGTCCCCACCTCCATCAGTCCTGTCACAGTCCCAACAGCCCCATCTCCCTCACAGCCCCGTCACCCGTTCCAACACCTCCAACAGCCCCATCCTCCGCCTCCATCAACCCCATCCAGACACCTCCAACAGCCCTGTCCCCCACCTCCATCAGCCCCATCAATGTCCCAACAGCAGCCCCATCACCCGTCCCAACACCTCCAACAGCCCCTTCCCCCATCTCCCTCAAGCCTGTCCCAACAGCCCTGCCACCCATCACCCGTCCTGACACCTCCAACAGCCTCATCCCCCACCTCCATCAGCCCCGTCCCTGCACCAATTGCCCCGTCCCCCACCTCCATCAGCCCCATCAATGTCCCAACAACCCTGTCACCCATCACCAGTCCCAACACCTCCCAACAGCCCTGTCCCCCGTCCCAACAGCTCCATCCCCCACCTCCATCAGCCCTGTCCCAACACCTCCAACTGTCCCGTCCCCTGCCTCCAACAACCCCATCACCCGGCCCGACACCTCCAACAACCCCATCCCCCGCCTCCAGCAGCCACATCCCCTATCACTTGTCCCAACACCTCCAACAGCCCCGTCCCCTGCCTCCATCAGCTCCATCACCATCCCAACACCTCCAACAGCCCTGTCCCCTCAAAAAGCCCCATCACCATCCCCTGCCTCCAACCGCCCCGGCACTGTCTCCCCCATCCCAACATCTGTCACCCTCTCCGCAGTCCTGGTCCTCTCCAATGCTCTCCCAGCACCGGCCCAATGGCAGCAAGGCCCCCCGGAGCCAGGATGGGATGGACATTCAGGGATTATTGGCTGGGGCCCAGTTCCATGGCAGCGACCCTGTCCCCAGTGACCGGCTATGGGACACCAGAGTGCCCACCCCATCCACCACCTGCCACCCCACATACCCCCTGCCCTGTCCCCACGCCCCCCATCCACCTCCCTGCCCCGTCCTCATGCCCTCATACACCCTTTACCACCCCACACCCCCATCCACCCCTGTCCTGTCCCCTTCCCCCATTCACCTCCCACCCTATCCCCCATGCCCCCATCCCCTGTCCCCACACTCCCCATCCACCCTCTGCCCCCATCCATCCCTGCTCCATCCCCACACACCCCATGCCTCCTGCCATCCCCGTCCCCTAGCCACATGCCCCTATACACCCCCTGCCACCCCACCCCCCATCCATCCCCCTTACTGTCCCCACATACCCCATATGCAACCACAACCTCATATACACCATGCCCTACATCCCCTTCCTCTATACACCCTCTCCATGTCCTTCCCCCATACACCCTCTGCCCTTTCTCCACACCTCCCATAAACACCCCACCACCACCTATACACTCTGCCCCACACCCTCCCCCATCCCCACACCCTACCCCCACACAAATGCTGTTCCCCCCCCCATGCTCACCAAGCACTGGCTGCAAGGAGCCCCCCTCTGATCCCCATGTCACTCAGCCCCCAGGGGAGCCCCCAGACAACTCACCAGGCTCTGGGCTCCTGGGCAGCGAGCCCAGCTGGGCCCAGGGCCCCCAAAGCTGGAGCTGAGTCCCTGTCCCCTCTCTTGGTGGTCACAGGCGCTGCCCTGGGAGATGCCTGGGTTGGGCTGGGCATTCGAGCAGTGGTCTCTGTGGTTGCAGCAGTGTCTGCCCGGGTTGGGTGTGGAGCTGCAAGGGGGAGCCGCACACGCAGGGCCCCGCTGCCCGGACATGCACTCAGCCCCAGGGCACCACTTTCCTGCTGCTCCTGCACCAAGTGGGCCCATCCCTGCCGCATGCTGCAGCATGTTGGGGTGAGCAAGCAGCTGCCCCGCCGCATCGGCAGCTGCAGCTCCAGCCCCAGCCCCAGCCCAGCCGCTGGGACATGACAAATAGAGATGGCAGCTGGAGTTACACAAGCTGGGCCTGGCCAGAGATGCTGGGTGCCCAGGAGAGCCCAGCGCTGGGGGACAGAGGGAAGGGGTACCACATGGGCCTGGCCCGGAGCGGTGTGGAGGGACCCTGGCTCCCACCGACCCCTGGGAATTCCTCGGGGCTGGCATGTACCACTGGCGAAGGGCCATGAGCCAGGGCCTGGGGCAGCCATGGGCCACACTCCACCGGGACGCGCCAGCAGCACGGGACGATGTGCGCTCTGGGGGCCATCGGAGCTGTCCCACACAGCCAGCACAGGCATCGGGCCCGGGGAGGAGGGAGCTGAACTGCTCACCAGGGCCAGGCACACATGGGGCACCAGCCATGCCAACAGGCACCCTCTGATGGGATCTGCTAAGGTCCCCTTGTCAGTACCAACCCCTGCAGTCACACCCAGACGGCTGGGCAAACATCGGGGCTGGGCAAACATCCCTCACGGACACACACGAGTGTGCCAGAACTGGGAACTGAACCCACGAGTCTGGACTCCCTGGCCTGGCTCTAACCACTAGCCCCCACTCCCGCCCACAGCAGGGAAGCAAACCCTGGAGTCCTGACTCCCAGCCCCGCCAGGTACACAGAGCAGTGCGCTGTGTGGTAGGTGGCCAGCAGGGACATGCCGCGGCTGGAGTGCCAGGAGCCTTGCCAAGGGCAGGCCATAAGGCCATGGGAGCAGAAGCATTTGGGGCCTTAACAAGGCGAGCCTGGCCTGAGAGGCTCCCTAGTGCTCCAGCTCTGTGCTTTGGGGTGGGGCTCCTCCTGCTTCCAGCCACCCCCACATCCCACCGTGCCTGCCAGCCACCACGCCTCCCCCTCCGCGCCCTGACTGAGGGCGTTGCTGCACTTCCCGCAGGGAAACACTGGCAATTCCAGGACTTTGCAGCTCAGCCCCTCTGCCTGTTGCAGCCCCAAGCCCTGGAAACCTCCTGCACTACTGCACCACGAGGGGCTGCTCACCCAGTCGCCCCGTGGCTCCACCCTCATGTCCCTGACTGTGAGCGATGGCACCACAGCTCGGGCTCAGTCCCTTTGTCCTAGAAATGAGTCGGTGACTCCCACTTGCTGGCTGAGGGCAGCTGGGCTGCAAGGCATGGGGTGTGCAGACTGCCCTGGGTCCTGGGGGGCTGGATGGCCCTTTCTCATTTGCTCCCGGCTCTTCTGGGCCACACCAGCCGAGGTCCTGGCCAAACGCAGCCCTGCAGGGGGTAGCTTGGGCAGCTGGTCCCGGCAGCCTGGCATCCAACATGCCATGGAAACCGTCTATCGTTTGGCTCCGCCAAAGCTCCAACCTGAACTGGGGCCAGGTTTGCCCAGAGCTACCGGAGGATTGAGGGCATCAGGGCCACATGCTCCCCAGGGGCCAGGGAAATTGCCCTACCAAGCGTGCAGACCCACATGGGCCCAGAGACAGCAGGGCTAGTGCCAGGGGCCCACTCCCATAACAGAGGCCATGCCCAGGGCTCCAGAACAGCCACAGGATCTGCCCGTTCATCCCTAGCCCCAGCCCAGGGACACGGCAGACCCTACAGGAGGGAGACATGGGACCAAGTGACAGGGCCCAATAGCACCTCTGCCACTGCCAGTCAGGGTTGAACTGGGGCCAGCTTGGGTGGATTGGCTTCCCGAGTTCTGACATCACTATCCCCTCCGGTGGATTGGCTCGCCCAGCTCTGATGTCACTATCCCGTTGGGCAGATTGGCTCCCCCAGCTCTGATATCACTATCCTATCACCCAGCAACCAGTTGTTCAGCAGTCAGCACTTTCTTGACATCAGATGTAAAACAACAAAAATGGCTTCCTGTGTCTGCCACCTGCGAGAGGAGGAACCCCTGCTGCTCCTCCCCTGCCCGCAGGGACCACCCAACCCCGGACACAAAGCACACGCGCCTGCTGCCCCATGCAGGTAAAAGTGCATGTGGGTGCCCAGAGATGTGTGTGTGTGTGTGTGTGTGTGCACAGCCCTGCCCAGGGACCCTGCCCTGCGCCAGCACAGCCCACCCACCCAGGGGCCAAAAACCAGGTTTTCAGAGGTGCCCAGGGACTTGGGGAGCCCTGAGACCAGCAGCGGGCAGTACCCAGGTCACATGGAATCAGGCCCCTGAGGCCAGCAGGGGAGAGGGGGGGGCCTGTGCCTGGGTCACACAGGGGATCAGGCCCCTGAGGCTGGCTGGGGGGAAGGGGGGGACGGGGGAGGAAATCAGGCCCCTGTGGCTTCTCACGTCAGTCCCCAAGTCCTTGGTCACGTTTTGTAATTATGGCCGGAGATTCCTCCAGCTGCCAGTAACTGCGAGCGGGTCACACTCTGCCCCCCGCCAACGCCCCCAGCCCCCCACCTCATGGCAGGGCAGCCCAGCGCCCACCTCCCAGGGGGCAGTCAGTCCCTCCCCCGCCCCATGCAGAGAGGGCAGGGTTGGAGCCGGGCTGAGCCCCCGGGCATGGAGCTCCCGGAGCCAGCGGAGCAACAGGGGGGCTGGGGGCAATCTGGACCCTGCTAGGGTCCCGGGGGTCCCAGAGTCGGGCAGGCCCAATCGCAGGGGCTGGGGGTAGCTCTGGTCCAGCACAGCCTCTGGCCCGACACTGTGGCCTGACCCTGGTGACGCCCAGCCTGGGGCTGCCCGGCCCCCCGTGCAGCTCTGGGCACAGGAGCGGGCAAGGCTGGCATGTGCCCAGCGCGGGCAGGCGACCGAACCCAGCGGTGCCAGGCGTGGTCCGGGCAGAGCTGATCCCCAGTACTCCAGGCACGTCCCTGGCCTCTGCCCTGCATCCTCGGCGCCCTTCCCCGTGCTAGCCCCGCCGCTGCCAGGGGGAGCCAGGCTGCCCGGCCGGACCCGCTGCCCTCCCGGGCCCAGCGCGCCCCGAGTCTGGCCACTCACCACTTCTGCCCGGAGGCGGCCGAGCGAGGCGTCCAGCCGGGCGCGGCGCATGTCGGGGGGG